CTTAAGGAGGTGGTACTCGAATTGTTAGGCATATTTGGGGTTGCTGGAGGCTCTTATAATAGCCTCTAGTCATTCCTTCAGGAAAAAAAAAATAATAATAATAGTTGAAAAGATTATAAAGCTATATACATCAAATATATATATATTTTTTATTTGTGTTTGCTCAGTTCTATCATTATTGCCCACTGTTATTGCTACCGTGATTACCTATTTGGCGAACATTGCTGCCCAACATATTACTAAAATGTATGTACTTAAAATACATCATTTAAAAAATTATAATTGCATTTAAGTTGCATCAAACAAAACAAGGTATATCATTGAATAATGCTTACATAAAGCTTATTTTGGATCCATTTGGGTTAATTAATTGTTTCATTTTTCTCTGATATCTTTAATGGAATCTTCATTCATCTGAGCTGACACAATTTTTATTATTCTAGATTGAACTTACCCTTCATTGAAAATCATTTGATGGATATCTTATGTCAGCTCTGTATTTTTGCTAGAAATTCATAAGAAATAGTTGAAATTGGCACAATCATGTATTGCAGCTAGCCTTAATACAACTACAGCACAGCCATTTCTCAGCAGGTTCTCAGCAGGAATGGCTCATAAAATAGCAGCACAGCAACCACAAACCAATTCTGAAACTCAGCCGATGCGGCAATTTCAAACCACAGCACATCAACACAATCATGCTAACACTTCAGTCCGGCTGCTGCCGCGACCACATCGTCCCTCATCTGCGACGAACATCAGCAAACAAGCGATGACCGCAGCGACATTGCTCCCTTTAGAGGAGTGCAGGAGGCCCAACGTATAACCGACTCAGATACAACAAGATTAAGCTGCTCAAACTCGCCCATGCCAATGGTGCGATTCCTCTTGCTGCGACGACTGATGGCCCTCGAAGTGTTGCTGAGTTCTGCTTCCTTGTACAGAACAGATTCTAACAGCTTACAACTAATGGAGCCTGGAACAAATGAGCAATGATGAATCAGCTTTGATTAGGTCAAATAATGCAATAAGAGTAGATGAGAGTAAAGTTTACCTCTTTGAATTGTGTTTGCTATCAGTTCATTGGCTGTGAAATCGATTGGAGGAGGGCTGAGGAATGAGAAGTTAAGCGTCAATGGAGCTGAAGGTGAGAACTCCATGCTGTTAGAATGGCTGCAGCTGTGGAAGGAGAATCCAATGATCGGGGGAGGAGTGGAGTTGCCATGGAAGGGAGAACATGGTGTTAAACAGAAAGTTGGTGAAGAAGGAGCTGACTGGCTTTCCACGTTGACTGGTGGGATGAAACTAAAACTCAAATCCCTGGTCGCCAGCATGATTGGTGCTGAGAAAGAAGAGCTCGAGTCTTCTCGTTCAAAATTTGTCAAAATTCTATTTACATTAACGCCTTGCAACTTCTGAGCATAATCCTTTATCCATGAGTGCTCTGCAAATAAATGAAGGAAACCATTTATGAGGGTGCTTGCATTATCATATATGGCTCATGAAGATAAGGTTTACTAAATTTGAATTTATAGGATTTACTGTATCATAATTGTAGCCAAAGAACCAATGAAGTCCCCATACCTACAACCTGCTTGGCTGTGAATCTCTGATTTGAATCCCTGCAAAGCATTCCGGTCACCAATTCCTTTGCAGAATCTGAAACCTCATCCCATGGATCAGAGGGGAACAGCAACTCAGCTGACCTTACAGCATTAAAGATCCTGGACTTCGTCTTACCCCAAAATGGCGGCATCCCGCTTAGAAGAATGTATAGAATAACACCAGCACTCCAAACGTCAGCCGCTTGGTTATAACCCCCTGCCAATACCTCCGGCGCAATGTAAAAAGGGCTACCCACAGTCCAACTCAATCTCTGCCCTGAAAGATTCAATCTTTTTTATTCGGAACAGACTTCATACACATAATCGGCAAAATTTAACAGTTTTATGAGATACCAGGCTTGATGTAAGTAGCAAGGCCAAAATCCGCGAGCTTTATTGGAGAAGATGATGAATTGGTGGCGAGAAGAATGTTCTCCGGCTTCAGATCGCGGTGAACAATCCCGTTTTCATGGCAGTACATAACGACCTCCATTAGTTCCCGGAAGAGGACAGCGGCCTCTCGCTCAGCAAAGCAGCCGTGTTTCTCGAGGCGGTGGAAGAGCTCCCCGCCGGCACAGAGTTCCATGACCAAATGCACATAGTCGGCTTCCTCGTACACGGCCTTGAGATCGACGACGTTGGGGTGGCCGGAGAGCCGCATCATGATCTCAATCTCGAGCTTGACGTTGCGGACGTCATCTGCGGAAATCACGCGGTCTTTTGCGATGGATTTGCAGGCGAGAATCTCTCCGGTGACCAAATCGGAGCAAGAGCGGATCACGCCGAACTGACCCCACCCAAGCTGTTCACCGAGCACGTAGCGGTCGCCTAGGTAGGAGATGCTTGAGGTTTCGAGGATAGGGATAGAGAGCCCCGGGACTTTGTAGCAGTTGCAGCGAAGGTTAGCGCCGCCGTTGGCCATGTAAGCGCTGGTAAAACTAGGACACCGGATCAAGAGACAGCCGCGGCAAAATTTTAAAAAAGCAATCTTTTTTTGGTACGTTCTCTGCGGAAAAATAAAAAAGATGAAATTTTGTAAGCACCAGTCGAATCAGCTAGTCACTGAAATTCGAAATCCGTAGAAAAGGGCTAGAGCGTGGCAACCGAATCAATCCGCAACGAGATTGCAACCTTTCCAAAAGGTTGCCTCTGATGCGGAACAGTTCTCAAGAAACACGCAGAGGTGGAGCAGAAGAGAAGGTGGCTTGGGATGGGCGAAGCGAATCGCGCGCGATAGAGAGAGAGATGAAAAAGATGGATTTAAAAACCTCGTTTTGGAGAAGGTAAAGCGCAGCGACAGGCCGGGCGGCCGGCAGCGTGGCGGTGGGGGTGGGCGTCAGCGCCTTGCCGTTTACTTCTGGTGAAATGCAGGGAAGGTCGTTTTTAGTGGTCAACTATTGGAGTGGACTGACCAATTAAGTTTTCAAGTTTGAACTCGACGCAGTGCGGAGCGGACGTGAAGGTAGGGTTTTTAAATGAAATGATTAAGCGCAGCATAAAGTTCCCTCCAAACGGAAAGAATATGCTCCATTGCTATTATATGATATCTTAATGTAATTTTAAGTCATAATTACATACATACCATCTAAAATATTAATATTTATAAATTTACCATCCGGTCAGCTTCTCAAACTAAGGAACTGTTGTGTTTACACGTGTCAAAATCAAACCATTAACAATTTGATAAAATTGATAAATATAAGTTGTGATTTTATCATGAGTTCTTATAATTTAGTGAGAATGGTTGATTTGTAAATAAGAAGTTTGGGGTGGGTTATATATAATTACCCCAATTTCAATTTAAGGGCTATTTAACCATGAAATATAGCTATGTACAAATCTATCAACCCATATTCCTCATTTTTATCAAATTCTCATTTGTTTGCATTAGGTTGGATAGTTCAAAAATATATCACTTAGGTATTAGATTTTATAAATAGCAATGCTTCGGGTGCTATGTATGTACTTATCCCTAAATTTAAACATAAGGTTACAATTCATATATATTTATACATCTAACACAAATTTGATATTTACATGTATATATCACTCAAATTTTGAACATGTCAAAAAATATCACTAGTAATGATTTTTAAAAATGAAATGTACATATTCATTCATAACTTTATAATATCAAAATATTATAAATATAAATATCAAGACTTTGGTGTCTTGACATGTGAGTATAAAAGAATTGTGCGGTATATATGTAATTTTTTTAATATTTTAATAATTAATTTTCAAATTATAAGGAATCATGCTCAAAACTATTTGTGAAAATACATCAAATATTATACTAGAGAAATGGCTACCAAATTATAAGGATAGTTTTATCATGCTCAAAATTATTTGTAAAAATACATCAAATATTATACTAGAGAAATGGCTACCACAAAGCGAAGCTCTCTTGTTAAATTTCTTAATGAATTTACCTATAAAAAATAGCATATATCCTCTTTGATCAAAGAAAGGAAAAAAATTATCATGAGCAACAAAGATGCAATTAGGCTAAGATTTGATTAGATGACATGTGCTTAGACACGATTAATAGCCTAGTTTATAACTATGGTTAAGGTCATCATTTACACAATTGACTATATAGTAGAGTTACATAGATAATACATGAATATAATACAATGTTAGTAGTTGTATGGTTTAGGGCAGCTAAGATTGTTAGTTAATTCATTAATTATTAATGAATTAATCTATCAAAAAGGATAATGACCATCAATTAGAAAAGGGAGTTAATAAAGGAGCCCTAAAACTAAAAATGATATAGCTTAGGGAGTGCACACTTCTAAGAGGATCTATAAAAATGTTTTGTTAGGCTATCTAAAGATTAGAGAATAGGATTGTTGCTCCATTAGAAATAATAAAATGATAAGAATTCAACGATTTGGAACCTTCTTTCTAAGCACAAACAGATAAATGACAAATTCTTCGATATTTTTATTTTGATATGTCGAGGGTAGAGCATTGAACTCCAAGTTTATTATGGACCTCGTAAAGAAAATGGAAGAGGTGACTTTCCCAACGCATGGAAGAGATATTATGCGTTGAATCTGCATGCAAATTTGGTGGCATTGTGGTGAATACAACCACAATATTACCAAATTTGCACTTATACGCACCTACCATGTCCACACGTAATATTTTGTTTCAGTACATGAGATGACTTTAATAAAAAAAACAAATTGTTCATTGAAGTCACCCAACCAAAGAAACAAAGATTTACATAAATGTCACTCAATTGCTACATATTTAAATATCTAACACCCAAACTTCCATTTTTGCATATATATCATCTTAACTAAGCATGAAAATAGGTATTCCACTTTTTAACTTAAATGGTCATATATATAGAACTTTGGATGGTATAAAGCTAAAAATGTAAAAAAGTAAGGTTTAGGTTTTAGATATATATTAAAAACAAAACAAAATCTCATAAGAATGCATTAATTCACTTAATAGTCTCCCAAGCAACATGAAGGCACCTCTAAATACCATTCATAAATCAAAACCAGCACATTTTCAAGCCATGCAACAGTGTCATCCTTGCAATATCTGCACTTTATTCAAGCCAAAGAAGAAAACGCCACAAAATGAGAAAATAGGGACTGCAACATGAGCATAAATATGCACTACTTTGGTTCACAAACCAAGCTCTCACACATATATATAGGAACAAAAAAGCACAACAAGTTTTCACCGAGATTACAGATTGAACATGACTTTGATTGCATTGCCGCCACGAGCACTGACTTCGAATGCTTCTTCCACCTCCTTCTGAGAAAACCCGAACCGATGCGTAATCAATGGCTTCACATCGATCTTCCCCGACCTCATAAATTCAATACAGAGGGGCCAAGTGTCCTTGTAGCGAAACACACTTACAACATCAACTTCTCTGTTACAATGTCATGAATGATAGTTTAGAACATTATAGGGAAATTTATTTGCCTACCACACAATTCTTATGTATTTACATATCTCACGCATAAACTTTCATATTTATATACATGGCACTTTGGCGTTTCAAATTTATGCAAAAAAATGTGTATTTCACTTTTAAGAAGTTGCAATAGTGCAATTTTTGTTGTGATATTAATGATAAGAGTACTGCGTGTGAAAATATGAAAGTTAGATGTGAGATATGTAAATACAATAGAATTGTGTGTTGTGTGCAAATGTCCCAACATCATATGTAATCAGCATATGTGTTAGATGTGGAAGAAGGTGATATGAAAAAAACTAGGAAAATTTACATATCAACCATACAATTCTCTTATGTATTTACATCCATAATGCCCAAAGTTTGATGTATACATTTATAACACATCGGTGTCCTAAACCTATGCATTAAAAGGCACATTTCACTTTTAAGGAGATAATCATGGTGGTATTTTTGATGTGATGTTAAAGATTTAGTGATATGAATGTAAATATGAATGTTTAGGTGTTAGATATGTAAATACATAAGATTTGTGTGGTGTGTATCTAGATGTCCCAAAAAATTTAATTTATATAAATTAAAATTCACCTGGCTGAGGCAGAAGTGAGAGGAAGAGTCATTTGGTCGTGGCCCATGCCGACGAGACAAACTTTGCCGCCGAGACGAGTAGAGTTTAGAGCAGTTGACATTGTTTTGCTGAATCCGACGCAATCGAAAGACACATCGATGTCGGATCCCATAGCTTTCTGTATTTTATCAACTTCATCATCTAAATCCTACAAATGTTAAAGATAGATTATGTAATCACGAATCAAATCATGAGGTAATAAAGATAAATGAAGAAAGAATATATAAATAATTTCGACATTAAATAACCTTGTGATAATTTGCCGACCTCACTTTGTGGGATAAAGGCTTGTTGTTGTTGTTGTATAACCTTGTGATAGTTTGAATATTTTTTTATGGGGCATTTATGTGGATATCACTCTAACTCCTATGTATTTACATATCTAACACCAAAGCTTTACTTTTTGCAATTACACTTCCTAAATCTTTGATATCACGTAAAAAATACCACTATTTTAACTTTTAAAAAGTGAAATACACATTTTCATGCACAGGTAAGGTGGCATATATGCAAAAAATTGAAATTTAGGTGTCGGATAGGTAAATTCATAGGAATTTAGTGGTATGTATGGAAGTTTTCCTTAAATTTATTTAAAAATAATATAATAATTAAAAATGTTAAGTGGCTCAAAACCATCAGAGTTATAGGTGAAGAAAAGTTGTGATTAAGAAACATTGTTCAAAAAGAACAATGGTGTTTATCATGACCATGAATTCTTAACAAGCACGAATTTGGTGGGCTATATATTAGTTATTGTATCCATTTTAGATAACAATTTTCTATAATTAAGTGAATTGGTTTGAATCTCCTTAAAAAATCAACTTTAAATCTTGTCGCCAGAACATTTTCTCAAATGTCTTTATATTCGGGGCATTTACATACATACCACTTATGTATTTACATATCAAACACCCAAACTTTAATATTTACATGCATAGCACTCCAATCATTAATACTACATAAGAAATACCACCATCACCTACTTATAAAAATATAAATACACCTTTCCATGAGTAGATATATCGATAAGAACACAAGCGGCACCACAGTCCCTATAATAGAATAATGTTGCATCCTATCTTCATAATATTACCACACATCCATATTAGTATTTGAATTTTCTTTTCACCCTGAACAGTCTATTAGCTGATCTTATTGTTGTTTTCTAATGCTTGTCAATAATGGTATGTTATAATCTTTCGCCAAAAAATTCCGGAGCATCTTCTAATTATCGATGTTTATTACTTAAAAACTTATCTATTAAGTCTAAATTGATTATAAAAATATAGCAAATACTTAACATTGCTAAAATAAGCCTACTATCATCTTTTATTCTTTCAACTTTTCATTTCAATAACTCTTTCACATTTTGCAGGAATCAGGTAAATGAAGCAACCATAATTCAAAACAAGGCGAAAATGAGCAAAATGGTGTTTTTGGCGCCTGGGCGGCTAGGCGCTAGAATCATTCTAGAGATATGCATAAACCGAGATCTTGGAAACTCGGCGCCACTAAGGTGGCGTCTAGGTCTAGGTGCTTGGGATTAGACGCGAGGAGAAGCAAGAATTTTTGGTCATTTTTCCCAGCGCAGGAGCTTGGGATTAGATGCGAGGCAAAGCAAGAATTTTTGGTCATTTTTCCCAGCGCAGGAAAAGCCAACGCTATAGTGCAACGCCTATGAGCCTCGACACTAGCGCCTAGGCGCTACGATTAGCATGATATTTATGGTGCCCTAGCGCCAACCATGGGCGCCTAGGTGCCAAATACACACAATTTGACGGTTCCAGCAGTTAGATGCGTCTTTTCGCTGGAAGTAACTATATAAATGATAGAACTAAAGTTTGAGGTGCTTTATGAATGATTTTTGTGTTTTCCGTCCATCTTTTGATGCTTGTCTTGAAAATATTGCTAGAGTGTTATAGAGATGTCAGGAGACACATCTGGTGCTTAATTGAGAGAAATACCAATTTATAATGAATTGTATTGGGACACAATTTCTGAGAAGGGAATGAAAGTAGATCCAGTTAAAATTCAAGTGATAAAAAAATACCTCCACCCACTTTGGTGAGAGTTTGTAGTTTTCTAGAACATGTTGCTTTCTATAGGCAGTAAATTCGAGAATTACCAAACTTCTCTGCCATTTATTATGAAAAATGTTCTATTTGACTTTAATGAAGACCACCACATTAACTTTGAGACGTAGAAAGTTAAATTAGTCACTGTACTGATTTTAGTTGTGCCTGACTGGGCTTTTGCACTCATGTGCGATGCTAGTGACAATGCGATAAGGGCAGTGTTAAGTCTGTGGAGAGATAAAGTTTTTCGAGCCATATGTTATGTCAATAAGATCCCGAATGAGGCTCAACTCAATTACACTACCATTGAGAGGAAGCTTCTGGCTATAATATATGTATTCGATAAATTTAGGTATTATCTGATTGGTACTCAGTGCATTTTGCACATTTATCATGTCGCGATACGATACATGTTAACTAAAAAGGATGCAAAGCCTCTATTGATCCGTTGGGTCCTTTTGTTATAGGAGTTCAATATCAAGGTACTTGACAGTAAAGACACTGAGAATCAAATAACACACCACTTATCTAGACTTGATCAATGTTGTTTTTTCTAATTCTCTTGATGAAATTAATAAGAACTTTCCTGATGAGTAGTTTCTTGTAATTTCTGATGAACATATGCCTATGTATGTAGATGTAGCAAATTTTATTGTGAGTGATATTGTACCCTAAAATTTGTCATACCATAAGAGGAAAAAGTTCAAGCATGTTGCGAAATTTTATTTTTGGAATGATCCATAACTATATAGGAAATGCAAGGATCAGATTATTAAGAGATGTTTAACCCTTAAAAGAAACCCATGATGTGATTAGGAGATGTCAGACTTGGAATATGGAGGGCATTTTGTAGTTAATACCACCCAAATCTTTACATACATGCCACCAAATTCCCAAGTATTTACATAGCTAATACCCAAGCTTACCTTTTTACATTCACACCACCCAAATCTTTCATGTCACATAAAAAAATAACATCATTTTAAATTTAAAAAGTGAAATACATACTTTCATGCATAGGTAAGGTGTCTGCATGTAAAAATTAAAATTTAGGTGCTAGATATGTGAATACGTTGAAATTGAGGGGCATGTATGTAAGTCTTCCTTCTATTAATTAGCTTGACACATAATTGTCTCTATAGTACCTTTTTATGACATTAAATCAAATACACTCCTCATTATTGATGTTTCTTCCAGTCTTTGTTCCAACTTCTTATTCAATAATTAATCAGATTACCCTTACAATTACCACCATCTTCTTATAGAGATATTTGCATTAGAATGCCTCCTCTTCAGCAACGTTAGCCTTAAGCTTTATATTTTGTACTTCTTGAAAGTTATCCAAACTCATTATTTTGAATTGTTTAATGAATACGTCATGACACTTCATTCTGTTCTTTTATTATATATA